GTTATATAAGTAATGCCATATTCACAATTGCCTTAATAGGGATATAGCAATGAAAAGTAAAACTAAAAATGTTGGGGGCTGATGGCATTCAGAATGCAAAACATAATCTGATCCCAACAATACTTAGCATTGCCTAATGTACTCAGTCTGCTATCTCTATTTTGAGATTGAGTTTAAACTGCAGAATTTGTAACTCAAATACATTATTCCAGTTTTGCTTTTTCTTCTTCCCCTCTTTTTGTAACATCTTGCTCGATTAGTAGCTCTGGAGAACTCAGAAGTATGAACTATTTTGGTTGGTCTTAATAAAAATGCTGCTCTACTGTAGAATTCAATGGAGGTGGGGAGGCTCATGGACCAACTTGGCTATAATTTTTTTTTTAATACAGGAGGTGTTAATGACTTATAAATCAACATGGAATAGGACAATTCTGCAAAAAGTGCAATATTATGGTTTTTCTGTGTAGGCCCATATAATGAAGTGCTATGATTGAGCACTCATTGCCCTCAAACAACATGCCTGAGATCTGGAAACCCAACTAGATCAATCTGTCCCATCCAGGAATGTTTTCCTGGGAGGTCAGGCCCCTTTCTTTAGGCCAGAAAGATATGTATATCATATAACCTTCCCTAAACTCTGAAAGGCATTATCTGTAGCATGCTTTAATGCCACTATGGCCATTTTTGAGGGCAGATACAAAGATTCCATATGAGCTAAGGCTGTGCCATTGTGGAAGGGTCTATCGAAACCATAGTCCACAGTCTACAATATTGTATTTTTTATGAGGATGCAAGGGCTCATTTTATTCCCATTTGACAAAGTACCCAGGCAATTCTGATATATTTTATGTACAGTTGTTATTATCAGACCAGTATGATTTTGTTTCTATGAATGTGCTCAAATTCTGTTATACTGTCTGTAAAACCAAATATTCCTTAATCGCATCAATTATCTAGTCACAAACTATTTTACTTTGTTCCATCTGCTGTTGATGTATTTTGGTCAATGACCATAATAAAGATACGTATGTATGTATGACTTTGGTGGCATTCTGTTGGCTCTATTAATGCCTTTTTGAAGATTGATATACATTTCATTAGTTATTAGGTATTCATTCATTACTAAGAGGAAGTTTGTATTAAAAATTATAAGAACTGATTAATATAAATACATGAATTAGAAGAAATTTGGAAAGTTGATTGAAATTAATTGTTGAGGTTTTCCTTCCTTGGTGATTTAAGAGCTATAAATTATAAATCTGTCCTTCTAGCATCAGCAATCCATTTAAATATTTTTAAAGTGCTCTTAGCACAGCTAACACCAAGATTTTCTGCTGAATTTTTGATAGTAATATTTATGTACAGATAATTTGCCCCAGTCATGAATATCTGGAGTTGATGTCTAATTCATAAGTTTATCATTCCAGGATTTATCCTCCTTACACATTTTTTCAGATTTCCAGCAGAAGTATAAGAAAATTGCAATCTGCTGGTGGTAGTTCTCATCTTGGAATTAAATTTCATTCTGATTTATTTATGCAAAGGTTTGAATTTTGAGGCTGAAATCACTTAAAACACAGCCATTACTGTGATCCTAGCTGAGGATTTATAAAAACATTTAGTTGAAGGAGCTTTGAAAGCGTGTTAAGAGACCTGAGCTACGGACTGCTAAAATGGTTTGGAAGATACGCCAAATTAAATCTGAAGAAAAGAATGACATTTCAAATTAGTTGGAGTTACTTTTGTTTTAACCTATGGAAATAAGTCACTGTAATTTTTTATCTGAGCCCTAGGTGAGGAAAACTGAACACGTAATAGATAAATGTTAATATACTGAAAAAAATCCAGGTACCACATTGATTATGGTGCCATTCAAGGCCATCTTTTCAGATAACAGCCAACAAAATGTAGTATATCTTAATTACTGAGAGCGTCTTTGGACTACATTGAGATGCAATTAAATCATTAATGTCTCACCTGCTGTTCTCTTCTTGCAGTCCTGCATAAAACTCTAATGGATGTTGTCTATAAAACAGGCTGCCTCAAGTAATTTGCTAGGCAGTTAATCTAATTTGAGGGTGGGATTATTTAGAGCCATTAGGACCTGCTAAACCTCATGATACAAGCACCCTTATCCAACTAGTTGGGGAAAAAAATCTGTTCTATGAAGCAGTGATGACCCAAAGGCTGTAGTGTGTATATTATTTCTCCTTAACTGAATACTTTCATATTGCAGATCAAGAGCCATGGAGTTCAGGAAATTGCTGGTCTAGGTTGAAGCGCAGTTTTACAACAAGGAAAATTTTATTTGTCAGTTACTGGCAGTTTTAGTGGTTTGTTACTAATCACGAACAAACTAATGTTTAAACTAAGGCCTCATAAACGTGTTATCTCTTGATTGTCTTGTCTTGATTACTAATAAATCTAATTTATGGATTGCTCATTGTTGTTTCTTAAAGATGATATTTGTTTAAGTAAATCCTTGCAGTCAAGAATTAAAGTTAAAGGATCAGTACTAGACCTAAGCAAGACTGAAATTTGATGCAGACTGAGAACAATATCTGAGTGTAACAAAATAGCATTTCTTGTTTTCTCATCTGCTGTGGCCAGTTAATCCACAACTTCTGTTTTGTGTTTATGTTTGTGTCAATTTTTTTTTTTTTTTGGTGAGTGGTAATTAATATTAGTCTTACAACTTCCTTTTAATGCTTTTTTGGACAGTAGGTTTGCCAGACATCTTGTTTTAACTAGGAACAGCTTGTTTTGGATGAGTAGTAAATTGATATATTCAGAATATTTCAAGTGATACAATCTTTGCACAGCTGAGGAAGAACAAACAGACTAGCTTCTTCTTCTGTTTTGCAGAGAACCTAATATGCATCCTAAATTTCTGCTCTTAAATTCTCTCTGTTTCAGCAGTTGGACTGACAGGAAAATCTGATATTAGCAGATGTATTTGAACAATTCATCATTCCAATTCCTCATCAGTCCCAGAGCCAATTCTATATTTGACTTATCAGAACACTTATTAGTCACTTTTCTTCTCCACAGGGCATCTAAGATGATACACACCTATGACAACTTTTAAATAATTTCATTTTGCTCAGTTGGGCCTACAAATTATCATTCTAAATTTGTCACCCTTTCTGGTTTCTTCCTGGGATATCGTTCCAGCTACTAGCTACCTGGCACTAAGCTAGGCAAGGATTAACATAGGAGAAAGCCCACTCAAGCAACTGTCTAAGAGTCCTCTAAAATCTGGAATTTACCTTTATAGCAAGCAACTCAGCAAGGACTTCCTATTTTCTAATTTTGGACCAGGAAACTATAATTGTTCTCTAATTAGAATCAAATGTCCTAAAATTATGACAAAAAAGAAAAGATGCAATCTTGATAGAAGCTTTAAAAACCTCTCTGTAATGATGGGGTACTGCACCCTTGTTTCCCTCAAGCTCTGCTCATCAGTGAGATCAATTTTCTATAATTTTCCTCAAAGAGTAGATAGTCACTTTACAGGGTAACTAGCAGGCGAGGCCTTTATTTTTAATAGAGTTCTGTCTGAAGAAGGGCAGGATGTTTCAACAGCAGTTGATAGGGTATCTAATAACGGTACTCTGAACTGAAAGATTAGAAATAGAGCAGATAATTTCCTTTGCTGGAGTGCTCTTTAGGAAATTCTGACTCATTTGTTTTCCACAAATAATTGAATTTAATTTAGTATATGATGTCTGCAAACACTGTAGCAGAAGGCACAATTCCAATATTTGTATATGCTGTTAATGGATAATCAAAAGCCTGCTTTCTTCTGTTGGCTGTTTCTCGTCTTAATTATACTGATGTTCTTAATTGTCTCACAAGTTCATATTATATTTATAATTTAATATGATATGAACTGAATTTAATTCAGCTACTTGTATTGATCTCCTTTATATTCTGGCCATGGATCATTTCCTCTGTCCATCTATTAGATAAACTTTCTACCTTTTTCTTTTAAGATGCTCATAATTCTTTTCTTTTTTTAGGTTTCCTCTTTGATTTTCTCCTTACATGTCACCTTGTTCTTTACACTCATCTTCTGGTTAGGCCTCCTATTTCCCCAGAGCCCTTTTGTCTGTCATATGCTCTGCCTTGAGTTTTAATTTGCTTTGGTCTTTCTTGTACTATTTCTCATTGCTCTGCCTCTTTCCTCGAGATTCTTTGTAAGTGGACTTTTACATTTTTGACTTGCTTCATCTTTAGGTGACTTATTCAAAAAAGAGAAGTCTTATTTCTTTGGTTCTTCCAGTTATCATTATTCTTTCCTGAGGATCAATCTCTTTTTATTCTTTTACTTCATTTCCCTTCAACTCCTGTGTTCATATGAAGGAAGTGTTTCTTCCCCCTCAATTTCTCTATCTTTTGTTTAATGTATTGTGTTAATATATTGTGACTGAGAATAGGTGCTTCTGTTTTCTGTTTGTGTGCAGCACTTGGTGCTTATAAAATAGTTTTGATTTTATTACTTACAAGGCTACTTTCAGTTATATCCAATAATATTTGGGTCATGAAATGATCAGCCTGTCTTCAACCTGCAGGAAATCCTGCGGGAAGATCCACACAGAGAGAAGTAGAAGTAGGTAGGAGAACTACAATCCATGAACAGATGCTATTCCACCAATCATTGCATCCAATGTACATACAATACAGGATGATGGTGCATTTAAAAATCTCCATATTCCATATGACATTTCTTAGCAATGCTCAAACTATTCTGGACTAGAATTCAGAACTCTTTCTGATACTCCCTTTTGTTTGCATTCTTCCCTTTCCCTTCTTCCATTTCAAAACTTTTTAAAAAAACTTTTATTTGGTGCTTAGTAATTTTAAGTATTTCCTAAACAAGATATGATGTTGATAGTATGCATGCCTGTTTATGTGTTTTAAGAAAATTATTGGAAATGTAGTAAGTTTGTCAGTGGTTCAGAAGAGGTTTTTAATGTGACTGCTAATTTTTAATTCAGGACAAATAACAAGATCATGAAAATTCTGCCTGAAGAACTGAAGCTATTTCAATCCCTTGAAACTTTAGATCTCAGCAACAACAATATTTCTGTGCTTGAGATGGGATCATTTCCTCCATTGGTGCTCAAGAACCTGTAAGTTAAGTTCAAGCTTTCATTTCATCCAAAATTTTTTTTTTAAAAAAAATAACTTCTCAATCCCTACTGTAATCAAGTAATCTCTGGCATCTGAGGAGGTTCTAGTGCTTCACAAAAAGCTCTGCAGGCATGGATTTACCACTGGTTTTTTTCTACCAATATCTGGCCCCAAAGAAGACAGGTTAAAAAGGCCCACACAGGCCAGTGCACTTTGGAACTGACAGTTGTCTACCACGTCACTCACCTCCCAACTAGAGTTGCTTGAATATGCTACAATAATAACACATCTGTATGTAGCTCTATTATTAAGATAATTGGGGAAAAATAGTGCCCTGTGCAGAGCTTGCTATCTGTGCATGGTATCCTCACCCCATGCACAGTGGATGTTATATTTGCATAGAAGTCTGTTCTCATAGGTTCAAACTAAGTAATGGTGAACACAGTGCCTACAATTTAGAGTCATGAATGTCAGTTACAAAAGGGGGAACAAAGGACTCTAAAGTTATATAGGGCAGCAGTCAGCATCTCAAGAGAGAACCATCACTTTAATCAAAAGAAAATCCTGGACTTTGTTGACTGTGCCAATTGATTGATTCATTAATTCTTTCCATCCTAATTTAGAGACTTTTTTTTAAGACAGAAACATTTATCTGACAAAGTATTTTACTGTTCTATAAATTGAGTCAATATTTAAATGGTAAAACAATCAGTATTTGAGGCTATTGTAAAAAAGACCAAATTTTTCAATGTAATATTTTGAACGTATTCAGAATTGATTTGAATATTTTTCAGTCACTTATTTAAATGTCATTTGGGGAATTATGTAAACTGCATTTTTTGGGGATCAATGTGGAGGATTCTCTGTCTTTTGAGAGCTGTTCAAAGTGATGCTTATCCACTGATGGAGCAAAGGATTTTAAAATGATTATTAAGATGAGTATGGTAATTCTAGACAGCAGGTGATTAGGACTTTGGTATAGAATCTAAACATTTCCAGAGATGATCATTCTGCCCTTCTTTTCCAGCCACATTAACAACAATCGAATAGTTTCACTGGAACCAGGCATTTTTGACAACTTGGCTAGCACACTTCAAGTCTTGAAGCTGAACAGGAACCGCATTTCAGCCATTCCACAGAAAATGTTTAAACTCCCCCATCTCCAACATTTGTAAGTACATCCTCCAACTGCCTTGTTGCTTTTAATAATTTTTGCAGGCCTCTTCCTGTGGTTGAACATCAGTCCTATTAGCAATCATATAACTCAGGAGAGATTTAGCAAAAACACAATTCTGATCCCATTTTTTTTTTCTGAATGTTTATATTAATTTATTTTGTTTGCATTGCCTGGAATAAGACATTTGTAATGCTGATGTGGTTCATAGTGTTGTACATAAGAAAGATAAGACATTTTCTTTAGATTCTTTTCTCCCATTGCTAGTAAACCACTAAAGATATTGACAAGGTATATTGTGAAGGACTAGTTGCACTATATAAAGAAGTCACTTCTTTTCCCCATGTGGCCCAGCCCTCATCACTCACCACCCCATCCAGACTAAATTAGGTTTCTTGATGCCTAATTACTTTTCCTAAGAAAGGTAAATTGAGAAACTGATAAAAGTGCTGTATGGTGCTAACTGCAGTCTGGGAAAATGAGTAGAGAAGTGTCAGATATTAGAAAGACAAAGATATATTTGCCTCTCAGAGAAATAAGAAGTGGATGACCTTTCCAGACAAAGTAGGTTTATGTTTCTATCATTATTAAGACCCAGATTCTTTGATCGAGTGATTAGTAGAATTGAAAATATGAAAGGTGAGAACTAAGCTTTCAAGAATACTGACCAGGTATCAACAACACAGTGCTAAAAGGCACTGGAATCCATGGTGCCGTTGGGTGGTGATCAGGGACCTTCAACATTTGTTTTAATTTCCAAAAACTTATGAGAAAGTGAAATATTTCAATATTTACACGATTCCATTGTATTTACCATACATACTCACAAATAAACCAAGAAATTTAGGTGCCAAAATTTACCCAAAAATTGGGTTTGGCTTATCCACAGATGGGCTTATCCATGAGTATATATCAGTAATACTTTGTTAAAGCACCGGTATATACTGTATATGCTCGCATCTAAGCATATCCAGGGAAAACCTGACCCTCAAGATTTTAACCAAAATACCATAAAAAATGGATAATATGTGGATTACCCACAGATAAGTCAATTGTAAAAATTAAAACCTATGAAAACTTCAAGGGTCCATGCCAATTCAGTCATAGACTCTAAGCTGCATAAAACTAGTACAATGAAACAACCATAATAGAATAACAAGCAGTTATTAAACCAGCAGATCAGTTATCAATATCTAAAAAGTAACAGTTTAACACAAACCTTCTCAAAAAACCTCATATTTTAGTTTCGATTTTTTGGCATCTGCACCATCATGTGGAATTGCTCAGTAGTTCCTACTGCTTAAAAAAGTTGTAGATCCCTAGTGTAGAGGTTTAAAAAGAGAGAGAATTAAAATGAGTAGAGTAGTAAATAAGCTCATGAAAAAAGAGGAAGAGGATGAGGAAATAATAGAACAAATAAAAGAAAATTGAGAGATATTAAGAACCTGAATATGTAAAAGGCTAACAGTTTGGCATTTGAGGTGGTTGGTAAGAGTCATTGCAAAAGCTTAAGGAGATGCTGCATCACAGTAAAACTAGCATAGGCTTTATTGTTTTTTATTGTTTGTAATAATTCACTAATAAAATTCTAAATTACAGAAGATTGGAGATATGGGGAAAGGAGAAACTGCTCTGGAGTTTGCATGGGTAAAAGGAATAGCAACCATAGAAGTGACAGAAAAGATTTATACAGAATGTAGCTAAAAAAATTAAGATGCTGAAAAAGATGTCACATACAGCAAATCTAAGTAGCATTTTACATGCTAAATAAGAAAGCATCAGAGGTAGGACCAACTACACACATACACACACCCATGGATAGCACATAGCTTCCTAAAACCTTATCTTGAACCCCTGAATTCCTGGAAGCATAATTTTCAGCCTTTTTAAAAATGGAGTTACAAAGTAAAATTGGCTTGAAAGGTGTCCAAAATTATAGGCACTGTCTTGCCTTAGAGTTCTTTTTTTTTTTTTAAAGAGCAATCTGGTTGAAAAAGAATGTTCTCTAGTTCTGCTAAACTTACAGAGACACAGGCCCACACACACAGGGCTTAGAAACTTGAATTTCCTGCAATAATATGGAATATTTTTCTCCCTTCAGAGAGATGAACCGCAACAGAATTAAAAAAATAGATGGGCTTACTTTTCAAGGACTGCCTTCTTTGAAATCATTAAAAATACAGAAAAATGGGCTTGTTTGGCTCATGGATGGAGCTTTCTGGGGATTAAGTAACATGGAAATACTGTAAGTACATATTTTCACAGTCTTCAAGAAAGAACCATTCTAAGTACTGCAGTTAATTGTGTTTCAGGACTGAGTTGTTCACAAAATATACATGTATAAAACACAAGATGGTAAAACTTTTCTAGCTTGTTTTTATGAGAAAGAGACTTGATGTCTTTTTCTACCTTTAAAATGGTTAAAGCTTGCAGCTATAGATGGGTTTTTCATTTTTGTGTTCTTAGGCAGCTGGATCATAACAACTTAACAGAGATTACCAAAGGCTGGCTTTATGGCTTGTTAATGTTACAGCAGCTTCATCTTAGCCAAAATGCTATCAGCAGGATCAGACCTGATGCCTGGGAGTTTTGCCAAAAACTCAGTGAGCTGTGAGTAGTTGTTTTTTGTGTTTTTTTTTTAAACTCTCCTCTGTTTTAAAAGTAGGGTGCAGGCCAAAGTATGATTGGAAGAGCGGTGGGATAACCACTTTTCAGGATGACAGTGGCTTTGCTATTATGTGCATGTGCTGAATACACTGATGCTTTGTTGTAAGAATCTGAAGCCAACTATGTTTCTTTGTACCAGTAACACTTGGATTTTGTTACTGTAATTTCAAATAAAAGAAACTAGTTCTGCAATAATATTACGTGTCATGGAAAATAACACACAAACTTGCATTAAAAATACATTATTCTGAAACTGATTAAGAAATGAATTGCATTCTTAGCTTGAATGTCTTGTTTATGCTGATTTAAAACCAACATTATCCCCCCCCTTTTTTTTTAAATTTGCAGGGACTTGACTTACAATAATTTAGCAAGACTAGAAGATTCAAGCTTTGTTGGTTTAAGCCTGCTAGTAAGGCTGGATATCGGGAACAACAAAGTGAGCTACATTGCAGATTGTGCCTTCCGGGGACTATCCAGTTTACAAACTCTGTAAGTTTCAGGAAAACTTGTTTAAAGATCTAAGGCAGCCTTCCCAACCGATTATATAGAACTTAGGAAAATTATGAGAACTAAAGACTTGCCCATATGAAGGGCATTAGAAAAGACTGGTGTAATAAAACAATGTTGTCTTTCTATAATGGGTCTGAGAAGCTTGTGAAGGAAAACTCAGTAATAGGTACAATTTGCTCAATTCTGAGTTCTTTTTTAAATTGACTTAGAATTGAGAGCTTTTTAAAAGCATCAAAACTGATTTGTTGGCTAGGTGCCAAAAAAGCATATTACTTATTCAGGGATTTCCATTTTAAATTATGAGTTAAAAACCTAGATAGAACATTATAGAAGTATGGAATTATCATACAAAATGTGCCATACAGTGACACTGGGGGGAGGGGGGAAGCTTACCCTGCAAGATTTTGGGAGAGAACACGGACTCTTGGGAGATTTGGAGATATCACAGGATTTCGAATATGTAATTACTATTTAAAATACTTTTGGATTTTCAGACATTATACGTTGAGGGTGGGGCAGGTCATATATCCTATGATACTCACAGGAGCATTGTTGACAACTCCTGGCTATGGGATTACCATCGAAAAACTTTCAATGATGGTGTTGTAATCTGCATAATGGAAAAGAATGGGAACCACTAGGAACATCACTTGCTGTTGCTGCTGTTGTTTCAGAAACATTCAGCCATTTGTTCACTGTTGCCCCACATGCAATGATGTTTACATGTCACACATTCCATTGATGGGAATATCTGTCTTCCAACTCATGTTATGACATATAAATCAGGCAATGACTCAACCTCTTGAACTCTCTTTGCGTCATCCATTGCTTGCTTCTGTTTTTCCATAGCTTCATTCCAGTGAGAAATAGCTTGCACGTAAGAAGCGTCAGATCTTTGCTACCATTCATGTATATTAACCCAACTGTTAAGCCTCTATTACAGTCAGACTCCCTGCTTGCCTTTCTACCTTCCATCTCTTGCTACTGGCATAGCTGCTTTTCTAATGGACAAGCCAAAATATTGTTGTGATCAATAAAAACCCCATATGTTTGGTAAAAGCATTAAAATCAGCAAGCTGTCATAAAATAAAATTGTAGTTTATGGCTTGCAGATGGAACTACCATTGAAAAAGTGTGACCAATGCTTACTGTACTGAATAGTCTTTTTTTTCCACAGGACAAGTGGTAACATGCTCCTAGATTACAGACAGAGACCCAGTTTGGTGTAATGGTTAAGGAATCAGGCTAGAAATCGGGAGACCATGAGTCCTTGTCCTGCTGTAGGCACAAAGCCAACTGGGTGACTTTGGGCCAGTCTCTCCCTCTCAGCCCTAGGAAGAAGGCAATGGCAAACCACTTCCAAAAATCTTGCCAAGAAAACTGCAAGTCATCAGGAGTCAACACTGACTCAAAGGCGTGCATGCGCGCGCGCACACACACACGCACACACAAAAGATTGTAGACACTCTCTTCTCAGGAGTTACACAGATTAAAATTGTGATTTCAAACATATGTGCACTTTTGTGATATTTTGGGACTGATTTCAAATCTTTTCCTTTCCTCAGAGACCTTAAAAATAATGAAATCTCATGGACAATTGAAGATATGAACGGTGCTTTCTCCGGACTTGACAAACTTAGATGGCTGTAAGTATGACTTTCTTCTCTCTACTTAAGTAATGATGAATGTTTATTCCTGGGGTCCTGGATAGAGAGATACATCAAGGACACTAGTTCCTGCAAATTATCATTATGATTGCTGTTATTATTATGGCAATGGTGGGTATTATTATTACTGTTCCACAAAAGTCCATAGATAAAACAACCACTGAGGAAATGGTAAAATACAGAGGAGCCAGACATCAGACGTAGGGAAATTTGATAGTATTAGTTGATACGGGACCAGCTGGCAGCTGTCTGCAGTGTGAATTTGGCCTTGAGGTCACCCGCTTGCTCACTAACTTGATGTTTTTTCTTTGACGCTGTCTTTACAGTACTTCCGAGGTCTGCATCATAGTATCACAAGGCCAACTGAACTTTTCTTTTCAAACCCATCTATTTTATTTATATTATAGTGGACAGAGACAGTGATCAGGAGTGTGAAAACTAGCTAAGATGGAGAATGGAGATAACGTGCTATGAGACTTTGGAGCCAAAGTTACTCATTTTGAATTGTGTAGGCATCTTAATTCAACAGTTTCTTCCTTGACATATTGTCTTTTTCAGTGCAAAAGTATGAAAAGGATTTGAAATATAGTTCAGCTTCTTACTGTTGATTTTGTGGCTTTTCTGGTCTTGCTTATAGTGATTGGATCTGTTGTAATCGCTACTCTATGTATTTCTATTTCATAGCATGCTGTTATTTGGGATACGTTTTATGGGATGTTTTTGGTTTTAAACTGATCTTGCTTTCATTGCTTGTTGTCTTGAGAATGTTATAAAGCAACTAATAAAAGCAGTGCATAAAATAAATATAATAATTTTTAGCACCACACCTAGTACTATAAAATGTCTTATTTTTATTCATTATAGATATTGAAGTTATGACATTATTGAAAGGCTGATTAGTTGTGTAAAGAAATAACGTTTGATAAAGCAAACTAGTATCCAGGTTTTATTAGAATGCAAACATTCTCTTCAAACTCCATGCGAGTGGAAATAAGAGATGGGTTATGTGTATTCCTAAAATAATTGCTTTACCAAATTATATTCATAAACATTTGAAATGCCTTCATCTCTTTAGTTATTGAACCAAATAAAAGCATCTATTTAGGAAGTGAAATCACTGTGGTCGGAAGAAGCTTAAAAGACAGAATTGCAACATGACAAACCATGGCCCCAAAGGCATTATCAAAATGTGCAAAAATACTTTTTATTTTATTGCATCTGTTATGTATTATATTTCCAGGCTACTCCAAGGGAACAGAATTAGGTCAATTACTAAGAAAGCGTTTTCTGGTCTGGATGCACTTGAACACCTGTAAGTAGTTGAAAATAATCCTTAATTAAACAGTTACTAAAATGTACAGTGATGCTAACATTAGAAAAAGTTGCTTACTGGAATCTTAGGGCTGGCCATGCAGTGTCTGCAGGCAACACTTGAACACCCTTCTGGGTTAGGGATTAAAAATAATTTTACCCAAGGATTTGCTAGGAACAGTTGTGAGTCTGTCAGAAGATCCATGATATGACAAGTGTGGTGCAGTCCAGCTAGCATTCATCCACAATTGGAAAATCCACAGTGTAGATATAAGGGGACAGACATTTCTAAAATGTCTTTATTTTCATTTCTGTTGTCAAAGTGGCTAAGATAGTCCCTTATGTCTTTTTGGAGCTTTTAAAACAGCCAAATATACTTGCAGCAGTAGAGGTTTCTTTGAAGTGTAGACTTCTTCATGACATTGCATGGTCACATGGTTCAGGAAGTCCCAGGAAGAATTCTGGTTTACCAAGAAGTCTAGCACTGCTGTAAGCATGCTGGTCTTTTTAAACAGTAGAAGAGACTTCTTCTCTCATTTTAGAAAGTACATCAATCACCTTTTGAGCCTCAACTGAAGATTTGTTGTATAGATTTTAATTTAAAGAAATAGAAAGGATTTTTTTTTCTTTTTAAGTGTTGAAAAACTGTCCATGAAAGTGGAGTTAAACTATGCAGATCTGTGTGTTGGAACTAACATCTAACATGGGTGATCCAAAGGTCTCCTCCTTCTTCTGATTCCTTCCTTCCTCCCTCCCTCGACCATGTTAATTTCTCAAAAATCCAAATACACGTTCAGGTTTTAAAAAATGGAAAACTCTTTTTAATTCATCAAAAGAATTCCCCTACCCAATGTTGTTATCTATCCAGGAAATATTGCTAAATTGTTATGTGTAATGCGAATGAGATATAAGCTCCTTTTTTTTTTGTCTTTTTAGAATAGAATTTGTCCTACACTGAACTACATTAATTTTGCTTTTCTCTTACAGTGATCTAAGTAATAATGCAATCATGTCAATTCAAGGAAACACATTTTCACAAATGAAGAATCTCAAAGAATTGTAAGTATCTCTCTTTCCTCCAACAGAGCTTTCATATAGTTAAAAATACCCAACAACGGTTGGGTTTATCTAAAGTGGCAGCACATAGCAGACCTGTGCCGTGCTTCAAAAAAGCAAGCAGGGCCAGACTTAGTACTTGCATCAGGAAATCACAAGGCTGGAGATGGGACCAGGCAGTTGGAACAACTCCCGGAAGGAGGCAATGGTGAGCCACATACTTGTTGTGCCCCCCACCCAAAATCACATGGATGTTTCCATGAAGTTACCACAATTCATATCAATTTGAGGGAGTCTTTCCATTTAACAACACAATATGATGGAATGGAATTATGAAGGCCAAGCTCAGGGAGATAAGCATTTTCTTAGCTCACCG